GATGAAACTTGGTACATACATGCTCTGAACTAATGCTAGGTTTTGATTAATTTTTGGTAATAATCCGTAGATACTAATTACCTAATTTGCATAATGATTAGTCAATTTTCGGTTTTTCCACTGATATCTCAAGTACTAATCATCACATTTCAATGAAACTTGGTACTTACATACTCAAGGACTATGCAGAGATTGATTGTTTCTGATAAATATTTGTGCATATTAATCACCTAATTTGCATAATGATTAGTCAATTTTCTGTTTTTCCACTGATATCTCAAGTACTAATCATAACATTTCAATGAGACTTGGTACATAGATGTCATATGACACTGCACAGACCTGATAGTTTTTAGGGTAATATCAGTACATATTAATTACCTAATTGCATAATTAATTAATTTTCAACTTTGATATTTCAAGTACTAATAATCACATTTCAATGAAACATGGTACATAGATCCTCTTGGACTATGCAAAGACCAAATTTTCGGTAAATATTTATGCATATTAATCACCTAATTTACATAATTAACCAATTTTCAACTTTCACACTGATATCTCAAGTACTGATCATCACATTTCAATAAAACTTGGTACATAAATGTTCTAGGACAATAGACAGGCCTGATCAATTTTGGGTTAAAATCTGTTCATATTAATTCCCTAATTAGCATAATAATTCATAATTTTTTGGTTCTGATTACATTTCAATTAAACTTGATACATAGTTGGTCTGTTGCATTGCGCATCAGTTGCATTAGTTTTACCTGATTTGCAAAATAGTTTTCAGCTTTTTCATCCATATCTCAAGTACAAGTAATTTTAAATTAATTTTGAATGTGTCTCCAGCACAAGAGAGTTCTTTTTAAGCTTTTTTTAATTGTATGCTTTAGATTTCGAAATCTTGTGAATGCGTACCAGAAAGTCCATCCTGAGTTGACCGTTGATATCAATAAAGAACTGACGAAATACAAGGTATTTACTGTTATATAAAATCATAATTGTTGATGACAGATTCTAATATCATGAACTCCCACATGTACAGCCCCTAGAACCCATTCACCATACGACAGATTCTGATACAGTCAAACCTGTCTATAAAGGACAGTCAGTGGACTGAGCCAAACTGTCTTTTATAGACAGGTGGTCTTTATATGGAGGTGGCCTAATTTATTCATTCAATCATGAATATTAATTAGGGCAGGGATTTTAAGGGAGATCATAATCTAAACATAAAAGCAAACCCACACACTGTACAATAAATAGGTCATTTTTAATAAAAGTTACTCATTTCCATGTGGATAATTACACAGCTTTACTTTTTTACTACAAATATCATGTAAATTCACTGCTCATGGATTCATTGGTGTATTTAATGCATAAGAACGATTGTCAACCATCCGCCGCATTGGCGTTTCAGCTCGGTCTTTCACACTCTTGCCATGCAGTCTTATTCCCCAGTCTCTTACACATATTTCATCATAGGTGGTAATCAGTCCCATCGTTAGTATTGTCGATTGTACACTGTGACAAAATGCACAGGCAAAGCATTAAAAATGAAGAAGCATTGGTAATAAACAAAATTTACCAAACTCATAACGATTGCTCCAACTATCGGTGTTGAATCAGAAAGTCAAATGCACCGGAAATGAAACACGATGATCGTACACACAATTTTACAGTTATTTGTAGCAAGCATCGACGTGTCAAAACTGCCCAAACGAAACGAATTTTCTCGATCGCGAATTATTGATATTACCTTTTATAAAAAAAGAGGATCAAAATAGAAAATATCTTTTGTTGAGAATAACCCTGAGATGACCCCTCAGTAACAATACGTTTTGCCCATGCGCTAGCTTCATTAGCATAATTTATAACGATCAACATCAAGCTACATGGCGGCCAAAACAGGTCGGATTTTGCAATCCTGCGATGAAAACGAAATAAACGAATGTTTTATTATTTTGTTTGGATATTTCATAAAACTGGTTCATTTTTCTTTGTTTACGAGACAGGAGGAATTTGCTCTTCATGTGCGAGACAGTCCACAGAAGTGTCGCTGGCCGGCTGGGGATCGATAGTATAGTACTGATCGGAAACAAGCTTTTCATTTCAAACTTTGAATGAAACTGTGTGGCTGTCTATCGCACACATTCGATCAGGTCCAAAAAAAACTGAGCATTGTGATTGTGTAATGGTAACACAAGAGACTATGGTAGACTGTAATACATCGTTTATTTCGGAAGACAAGTCTGGCATCAAAGTACAATTAGAACAATCCACACTAAACATGCACTAAAACACCCTTTATATAGGGTTAATAGGATTACATCGCGGATTTTAAAATTGGAGGAAAAACGCTATGATTGGTGTGCCATGTGAGAAGGTCACTATAGAATAAACATTTCGGCTTAATCCGCTACAAAGTTGCGACTTCTCTTGCATTCGCTGTGACAAAGGCATGTTTGTGGACATTACAAAAATGGCTTACAATAAATTGATTTGTGCTTCTTTGTCATAGGAATACATGTATTGTGAGGTGAAATGAAGCATGAAACGGCTTCTAACAGACATAACTCAGAGAATAATGCTTGGAATCGAATAAAACCAAAACCAACAAATACAGAAAATGGTTGTCTATCGATACAAAGTAAATACGAATGAAAAATAATAACTATAATTAAACAACAACAAATATAATTGAATCGAGAAACACACACGTGGATAAGCATCCACGATAAACTGTTTTAATTTGTTAAAATCTTTCCAGTCTCCAGATGATATTCAACTTTTTTTTTTGACTTTTTCGCAACTTCACAAACCAAGTTGCGATAGACACTCGTGTCTATTAGCCCTAAACATTGCGTACTTGGTAATCTGAACGTAACATATGGCCACTTTCCTGTTAGCGATTCGCAAGTAGCTATTGTCTTTTTGCAGACTGTCCGATGGAATTGTTGGTGGTCGTTATACAAAGGTTAAAGTGTGAATAGGTCTACAATAGGGTGGTTGCTTGTCGCATTGGACAGGTGGTTGCTAATATCCAGTGTCTTTAACGTGTAAATTGCGAAGGGACTGTACTAAGGTGGTCGCTATGAGCAGGTGGCCGCTCTGCACAGGTGGTCGTTAACACAAGTTTGACTGTATCATGAACTCCCACATGTATAGCCCCTAGAACCCATTCACCATACGACAGATTCTATCATGAAGTCCTACACGTTTAGTCTCTAGAACCCATTCACCAGGACACATTCTATCATGAAGTCCCACATGACCAACCCCTAGAACCCATTCGCCATACGACAAATTCTATCATGAAGTCGCACATGTTCAGCCCCTAGAACCCATTCACCATACAACAAATTCTATCATGAAGTCCCACATGACCAGCCCCGCCCCTAGAACCCATTCACCATACAACAAATTCTATCATGAAGTCGCACATGTACAGCCCCTAGAACCCATTCACCATATGACAGATTCTATCATGAAGTCGCACATGTACAGCCCCTAGAACCCATTCACCATACGACAGATTCTATCATGAAGTCGCACATGTACAGCCCCTAGAAGCCATTCATCATACGACAGATTCTATCATGAAGTCCCACATGTATAGTCTCTAGAACCCATTCACTAGGACAGATTCTATCATAAAGTCCCACATGACCAGCCCCTGGAACCCATTTGCCATATGACAGATTCTATCATGAAGTCCCACATGACCAGCCCCTAAAACCCATTCACCATACAACAAATTCTATCATGAAGTCACACATGTACAGCCCCTAGAACCCATTCACCATACGACAGATTCTATCATGAAGTCCCACATGTATAGTCTCTAGAACCCATTCACCATGTTACCACATTCTTCCGCCGAAATTAAAATAAAAACAAGCTACCATTCTTTATATGTGCTCTAAACATTTTAAACAGAAACGTGATCAGCCAAAACTATGAAAATATTGCATTGCCTTCGCACATCGCGACTTGCCGCCATGCATTCTCAACCCACGACACGGAATCCATTGACTTATTAACATAATAATAGGTACGTGACCTCGGGTCAGGTCCTATCTCCCATGGTGCAGTGAGACTTCTGGTGACCCCTGACCAGTTCTATCGTTGGGTAGTTTGTTTACAAAGTTTTCATTTCGCGTACAACATGTATCGTTTTTCGGGGATAGACCCTCCAACAAAGAAACAGAAGTCGAGCATCGATAGAATTGCGGCAAATAGGGAGTATGACCAGTCAAAACGTACTCGCAAAATAGTTTCAAGCTGAAAGACGGAGTTCAAAGAATGGCTGGTCACCGATGACACCGGTAGTCATACGGTGTATTGCTGTATCTGCCGGGCTATTTATGGGCCGTTATCAAACTGCAAAATACCAGACAAACTCCGTAAGTACGGAAAGGGATCGTTTGTAACTGGGTGTACCAATTTAAGACGTGATGCCCTCACATGCCATGAAATGTCAATTGGTCATAAACAAGCCAAATTGATATTCGACGCAAAGAATGCTCCACCATCAAAACAACTTCCTGCTGATAGAATCATCGAAATGTTGAATGGTAAAAGTGTTAA